GAATATGCCTGTGGCCGTACCTGCCTTCAGGTCTTATATTACTTGTTGAAATTCTCCTGCCCCTGTCCACATAGCCACATGCACCCCCTTTCTCCTTCTGGCAAAATCCCGCCCCAGCTGTGCTCCCCGTCCTGCCCCTGCCTGGCTCCCCTTCCTGATTGCTCGCAGCACCCAGACGCGTTCCCTCGGTTGAAGAGCATGCATCAGTCTTCACTGGGCTCAGCGGTCACTTGGCTCTATGGGGACTCTGGTGTCACTGAACGGAAAATTTTCGTGGGCGAAGAGGATGGCTTCTGAAACGGAGGCACCACCCAGAGCAGGAGTCAGCAAGACCCCAGTTAGCAGGACCAGCTCCCCTGGCGCAGAGCTCCCGACGCCCCCCACAAGGGCCACGCTCCCACTCAGTAGCTGAGAAGCTCTGTTTTCCTTTCTCGAAAAAGGCTTATTAACTCTGCCGCTCCCTTTCCCTCCCAGATGCTCAGGAGACCCACCAGCCACTAGTAACTGGTAACCACTGACTCCCATTCCTCAGTGTGTCCTGGGAGAATTGGTCTTTTTTCCAGTTACTCCCAGTCTTGCCATCCCTCGGCAGGACTAAACTTGGGTCCTGCTTGAAGTTTCTGCTGCAGCTTCTCTAAGTGGAATATTTATCTTTTATACTGAAACTGGAAAATTCGGAGCAACTCTCCAGGCAAGATCGTTTATCCATCCTACCGGGGGAAGACCATGAAGATTATATGTTCTGCGGTACAACTCCCCAAGCATCTCTCAAGAAATTGTGCTCAGAAGTCATAACGATGAACACATTGCAGAGGAAAAATGCTCTTTCATTTTCATAAACTGTCCTCGAAGTTTATGGGAGATGTGCACTTGGGAATGACACAGGGAAACAGATAAATTAATTAAATAATGAATGAGAAAAGGTCAAGACATTGATAAACCAATAAGAAATTAGAAACAGACCCTAATTTTAAAAGCCCGTAAATGTATATACGACTGCGGGTTGATAGATAGGAGGTCTTAGAATGTGGCTGCTCTCCACTGCTTTGGTGTTTTATCTTTTTAATTCCGATAGTTGTGTGTGGTCATGATTTGGAGTGTGGTATATAGTCCAAATAATATTTGCCCCAATAGGGGGCTATGGGGGCAGGCCTGCCTGTTTGACAGACTCACGTTTCCTGCAGTGCCTATCAGAGCAGCGGTCTGACAGAAAGCAGACAGCAGGGCTGAATGTCTGGACCCAACCAGCGAGCTTTTCCAGCTAGATCTCCCCTTGCGTCGGTGGTTACACTTGTAATGTGGAACCCATCACAGGTACCTGGTGGATGGAATGAACACCACACAGAATTTAGAAGGCTTGGGGCCCGTTCCAGCTCTGCTACTGGTGAGCCTTAGCTTATCA